AAAAAAAAAAAAAAAAAAAGAAATATCTATGGAATCTCTTTCCATCTGTAGCTTCTCCCTGTGTCACTTCTTTTCCTTGGGTTGTTGTTACTGTTTAACTGTTGTTACTGTTTACCCTGCAGTGTTTCAAGTCTGGATTTTGCAGATACACCCCTGGGGGCTGTTGAACATATTTGTCACCTAGGTCGCTTGTAAGTTGGTAGTTAGAGCCAGGGGTTTGATAAAATGTTTTGTTTTGCCTTTGTGTTTGCAGTACTACTTCATAGGTGGTATGTGCTCCCCCTACCGTACTGGAAGTTGTAGATGATCATTGCCCAAATCTGTTCATTTTTTAAGACTAAAATAGGGTGACAGGTTTCTGATTCTATTTTTCATTGGTTATTTCTATATTAAGAAAAAGTCCCCTTACCAACTATTTGATTACCCTGAGGTGTAGGAAAAGAAGTAAATGCTGGTTTCCCCAATTTAAGGTCTTCAAAATGGTCATGGGAAACAACCAAACAAAAACCTTCACATCGCTTTTGTTTGGTTGGTCCAGTTTTTCATGTTATCAGCAGGCCATGGTTTTTAAAACATGTTTGTTTTGTTCCTAATCCATGGCAATTATTATTATTAAATTACTCTTCTTAAATTTATTATTCCTATTAAATTGTCTTATTACCTTTGCCCCTTGGGAGACACTTCGCATTGGCCTGAGTCTTTTTCACTGAGCTAATACACAAGATCGGATTGTCACATCAGACATGCAGATCCACGCCCTTTCCCACCATCAGGCTTTACTAATAATTTCAAGACAATCTACATGCCCAGGTGAAGCAGAGAGCCTTCTGAGACATCAAGTGTCATCTGTCTTCTATCCATATCAGTAATAATAATTGGGAATAATAGATGAGCTCTCTAAATGAGGTCCGTGGGTTTCCTCATAGAAGGGGCACATTATTACAAAGTGTAAATTCCGATCATTGTAAACTCCTCAAGGACATTTCCTAGTCATGCCTCTTGGATTCTGGGTTTAATTATTTTAAGAAATCCTTCGGCTGGGAAGTTCCTGCTGAAAGTACTGCACAGATACATGTCTTCCTGCTAGCAATATTCCTAGCCTCTTTACTTGAAGGTTCAGCTGACAAGGAGATGAAACATGGCCAACTGGTTTTTTTTTTTCTGTTCCTTAAGAACATTCCCCACTACAAGGGCATGAGAAGATCACAGTCCACAGTCTAGAAAAGTCATTCTTTGATGAACATTTCTCATACACTTATCTTTACACACTTCTTCGACAATCTCCCTAGAATTGCTTTCCTAAAAGTGAGTTCATCTATCAAAGGATATCCCCAGTTGAACCTCTGATTCCTGGATCAGTGATGGGTTGTATCCATTTATGCCCCATCTGGAAGGGATAACTGTTCTTACCCCAAATAAGACTTGTCCTGAACACTGGATGTTCTATATTATTTTAATCATTCCAAAAATGACCATACTAAGGCTGATTTTTTTGACATTTATTGAATGCTAATGAAAAGGATATATTTATTTATTCTATTTCTTTTGCAGATGTACTGATCCTGTTTTGCCTAGTTTTCTTCTGAATTCGAAAAATATTAATATTTTGTCTGGAATACATGTTGGATATGTTTTTCCAACTTGTTCTTTGCCTGTGTTACTATATGTGTTTTGTTTACTTTTTAGAAAAATTGTCTCATTAATAGTGCTTGAGTTTATAAAGATGAGGTGGATTTTTACTTTTACTACAGTGGAAAACAGGTAACATAAAATCTTCCATACCCATTTTTAAGTGAGGAGTAGTCGCATTAACTGTTTGCGGTTGCTGTGTGAGTGCCACACATTTCTCTTCTTCGAAGCTGAAACACCAAATCCATTAAACAGCACCCCTCCCCATCCCGGCACCCACTGTCTACCATCTAAGCCATTTTACTTACTTTCTAATGGCGTTACCCAGAGTTCTCAGACTTTTCCTTTATGGTTTAGCTTTTGTGAACATCAAAACAAATAACTGAAAAGTAAATACCCACTTACTGACATGCAGATAAAGAAGGAAAATATTGCTGGTAGCATTCTAGAAGCCTCCCATGCACTCCTTCCTAATTGCAGCTCCCTCTCGTTGCCCTAAGTGTAGCCTGACTGTTATGGTACCCAGCCCTGTGCTTAGGGTATCAGCTGTGTACGCCTCTCTAAACAAGTCAACTTAGTTTTGCTTGGCTTTGAATTTTATGGAACAGTGTCAGACTGGGTATGTTCTATTAAGAGTTGTTTCTTAGTATCTGTTGTAGTATTTTTCCATGTTATTACTTATGACTGAAGTGTTTCTTCATTGTTGTATGCTATTCCATTGTATGAACATATGCAGTATGTCTGTGCATTCTCTTGTTGATGGATGTACAGATTTTAGAAACCAGTACATGTTTCTTTGTATACATGCTTACCCCTCTCCAGTCTTTCCTCAAATATATTTGCATAATAGAACTTCTAGAACATGAGCTGGATATGAATGTGGATATGGATATAGATACGTGTCTAGATGTCCTCAGCTGTGTTCCAAAGTGGGTGGGACCAATTTGAACTTCCACCAGCCAGACCTGAGATTTCATTACTCACATTCGCACCTTCATTTGCTATTAGCGTATTTATTTTTACCATTACAGTGGATGTTTAGTAGTATATCATTGTGGTATTGTTTTCCAGATCTTTCATCACAGGTGAGACTCAGCATCCTTTCATATGTTTACTGGCCATTCATATTTCTTCCTTTTGAAATGGGTATTTAACTTCTACCTGGTTTTTTTTATTGGTTTATTTACCTTTTTTCTTACTGGTTATTAAAAGTCTTATGTTCTGTCCCTAGGCTCTTTGATGGTTATGCATGTTATAATGTCTTCTCATTTGTTCTGGTTGATCTTCCTCCCTCTTTATAGTATCTTTAACAAATATGATTCTTAATTTTGATGGAGTCAGATTATTCTAGGATTTTTCATTGTTGGGTTAGGATGATCTAAATGACCTTTTAAAACTTAATAGTTCTTTTTTTTTTTTTTTTAACTGAAAGAGCCAGTATTTAAATGTGATTATCATGAGCCTGAATGACTTGGCAGACCTTCTCTTCAAAGAGAATGTCAATGACAGTCACCGTCTCCACACCATCTGAAGAGCACTTGTGTCATTTTCACAATTAGGTCCCCTGTACAACGCAGTGAGTCATTATGGCTCTATCTGGCGCTCTTTCAACAAATGGATCCTGAAGTATATATGATTACCTTGTTTTCTGTCACCCCCAACTGTGCACCATCCTGTACCGCCTTATGGTGCTGTGACACATGCATATGTCCTCTCTCCCCACCTGGGCTGGAAGCTCCTTGACACAGAGGGTCTAGAAATGCATCTCAGTGGTGCTTTGTATCAAATAATCATCTACAAAGGTGATAACAATATTCAAGGTCCCTGAATATGTAGTCCTTCGGAAGTAAAGAAAAGCATGAGCTGCTTGGACATGACTTCAGGGAGTAACTTGCTGCAGCGCTAATATAGAAAAGATAACCGATGATTATCCAAACCACATTTTAACCAGTGGCTATAACTACTTACCCTTTGCAGACCTTACTAATGAACAGCTAACCTGACCCACACATCCTTGTCTGTTCTACTGAATGGCTTCCGGTAAAGATACTGAGGGAGGAGCCCAAGGGGACCACAGATAATTCAGCATGGCTAGTCAGTTTTCTCCTCCACCTTCTTCGTTGTTTAAAATTTTATTTTGTTCAGTGTCACAAATGTGAATATATATTTATGCTCATCTGCTTCTCAGGTAGAAATGAGTCCTCTGGAAAATGCAATTGAAGTCTTGGAAAATAAGAATCAGCAGCTGAAGACTCTGATTAGTCAATGTCAGACCAGACAGATGCAGAATATTAACCCTCTGACCATGTGTCTGAACGGAGTCATCGATGCCGCGGTGAATGGCGGGGTTTCCAGGTACCAAGAGGTGAGGATTAGCAGTTGTTGTTTGAGATGAAGTTCTCAGCTGTTATTTCTTAGGGTTTTGTGAGTTCTTTTCTCAAAAATACATACCTGTATCATACAAATGGCCACAGACACAAAGAAGGTGCTTTATGAAATAGAGAAACTATATAGTCACTGTGATGACTGCTTATTCCATTTTTCCAGTATGTGATATTTTGTGTGTGTGTGTAGAAAAGTAGTGCAGAGGTCAGCCAGGATTGTTTATTAAATCTCTAATATAATTTCCCTGAGCAAAGATGTTCATGGGCGTAGAAAAGTCTGACCTTGTTTACAAGATGCTGTAAGTGGACTTGCTTCTGCCCTCTTGGTCTGAAACAGACAGAGGTAGTAGCCTGCAAGATGAGGCCATTGTCTCTGAACCCGAGGGCGATGTGTTTTGGGGTGGACCGCCAGATAGCTCGTGCACTTGGCTTTGCTCTTTGTTTATTTTACCAAAGGTAGTTAGTTATTGGACAAGTTCTGGTCTTCTTTACCAGCCCTTTCCTCATGTTCCTTTCTGACCAACCACCCACATAGGAATCACTCCATCTGTCCCCAAATGTGGTTTATAATTGTGTCATGTCTCTCAAGAATGCCAGGTCTTTAAAAACAGCAACTGTTCCTTTCACTTCCTTAGTAACTCAGTAGACTGTCTCTTGACTTCCTAGGCTTTCTTTGTCAAAGAATATATTCTAAGTCATCCTGAAGATGGGGAGAAAATTGCCCGGCTAAGAGAACTGATGCTTGAGCAGGTAAGGACGGCGGAAGCCAGTCATCTTCTTTACCCTGCCTGGCCAGAGGCTCGCTTACCACACACGCAGCTGTGATAGCTCAGTGAAGAGCCAGGGAGTCCTGGGCTTGGTAGAGGCTGGCCCTCCCCCCAGGAATGCAGCTTCTTTTTCTGCCAAGTCTTTCTTCTGCTCCACCCTGAGGCAGTGACCCCTGTCGGGTACCCACAAAGAGAATTCCAGTCTCCATGCCAAGGTCTGCTTCTTGGATGACCCAAATTACCACATTACCTGAATACCGAGGCAGTTTCCCTACAGTAGTGTTTCATTTGTAGCAGATGGGGGTGCTCCTATGTACAGACTCAACTCTGCAGCCCCCAGCCATCTCCTCACTCGGGGCGGCCTCTCCCTTTACACCTCAGGTGGCACTCCAGTCCACCTCTGCCTCTCAAGGCTGTATTTATTTCAGGGTGTTTGTCCTTTATGCAAATGTGTTGCCATGGGGTGGGCTTACAGACAGATTGCCACAGTCTCATCTCTTAGGGAAGGTTCTGGATGCTGTCATCCACAAAGGTCAGTCCTGTTTGACCTGGAGCTTCCAACCTAGAATTTTCACAAGCTACAAAGATAATCAGACCTTGTGTTATTGTGTTGTTTTCCTCCCAGAATACAAAGTTGGGTTTGTTTTTTTTGGGGGGGCCACTTTAGTATGGGAGCATTTTTAAAATGGAAAACACAGCTGTCATTCAAATCAGAGGAATTATACACTGTTGATATTTGCACAAAGTTCCATGTTTACATTCATTTTATTTTGGGTCCTCACAGCAAGAAAACTTACACTTAAATATGGCTTGCTTCCTTGTTACATTATAAGTTTTCAATTAGCAAGAATCTTGCCTCGGATAAAACTCATGGGCCATGATACTGCCACCGCGCAAAGCTCTTGTTGCACTATAGTGAACAAATATAATATCTTTAAACAAAAGTAAGAAACGTAACAACTGTTGCGGAACACCTGTACATTTTTTCCGTCATCCCTGATAGGTTTTGAAAATCTGTGGGAGGGGTGGGGGCCACAGAGAAACCTGATGGAGGAGAGGGGTTAGCATGGGAGAGAGGGTGCCATCTAGAGAAGGGATCCCTGAGGCACACCTGCATGACTGAGCCTCCTAACAAAGCAGTTCCTGCCTCCATTCCTGGCCCCATCCTGGGATGAGCAGCAAGGGGCCAAAGGAATAAGAAAGATTGTAAGATCTAAAATACCTGGGAAGGAATCTCGGCAGCAATCAAAAAGGAAACTCAAGGCTTGGGAACCAGACAGATCCAAGTGCTCAAGTCCCCCTTTAGTACTGTATATGCAGGACTTCACTGATTCCTCGTTTCCTCACCTGTAACGTGCTAACTGTTCCTATTTTGTTGGATCCAGCAGGTTAGCAATAACGCATGAAAAATGCATGGTGTAGCACTTGGGCTGAAGCAAGCCCTGCTGAGAGTTAATCATTGATGTGAGTTTTTTCCTTATGTTATTAAGGCACAGATTCTGGAATTCAGTTTGGCTGTGCATGAGAAGTTTGTACCTCAAGATATGAGACCTCTTCACAAAAAGCTGGTCGACCAGTTCTTTGTGATGAAGTCGAGCTTAGGAATACAGGTATGTACTCTGAGTGTCCACGGTGGGGCAGTCTGCCCTCTGCCATTTACCTTTTCTTGGAGAATGCAGTATTCAACAGTGACATCTTTTGGTTTTTCTGCCAAACTACAGCATGTATCAGACATTAAAATTGCATTTGTGTGCCATTTGCCATGGTTACCTTTTATGAAAATAAAAATGTGAGAGAAGGCTTACTAATACCAGAACTTACTGTAATAGATCCCTATGTCAAGGTTTCATGACATCCATGCTGTATATCCAGTGTATTAAATAGCTCAGAAGTTAGGCTGCCCATGCCTTACTGTACTAAAATGTTTTCTTCATGTCGTTAGGAGTTCTCCGCCTGTATTCAAGCCAGTCCTGTCCATTTTCCTAATGGAAGCCCCCGAGTGTGCAGAAACTCAGCACCTGCTTCCATGAGTCCAGATGGTAGCAGGGTAATTCCTAGACGCAGGTAAGTCATAGTCTGAATTACCTTACAATTTGGCATCCCCACAAGATGATCTGGAATGATGCTCTCATTCTTTATGGCACAATTTGTCAAAACACTATTTCTTAATGAAAGACTTAACCCGTGAGGCAGCTGCAGACATCTGCCTCTGGTAAAACAGCCACAGCATGAGAAATAAACAAGCTCAAACATTTGATTCTGTTGAGGCAAACAGGAGACAACAAAATGGGATGTGTGGTTTTCCTCCCCTCATCGGTTTTATTCCATGCCAGCAGGTGATAAAGAACAGTTCAGAGCCTGAGTTAACGACCGTCTTTTCTCCCCTGAAACAGCCCATTAAGTTACCCAGCTGTCAACCGGTATTCCTCCTCCTCACTGTCCTCCCAAGCTTCTGCTGAAGTAAGCAATATTACAGGGCAATCAGAAAGCTCTGATGAAGTCTTTAACATGCAGGTACTTTATTCGCTTTTTGTCTGTTCGTGTTCCTTTCCTTTCTGTCTGCATCACGGGAGTGTCTGTTCGTCCTGCTGTGCTCAGAACAGACCTGCCAGCAAGAACGTGACTTAAGGACAAACCTTTAAACACTCTTAAAGCTTTGCTGGTTTTTGGAGTCTGCAAAGAGGTTTCTCTCCAAACTACTCCCCCGCCCCCCGCCCCATTTAAGAAGACCTGAGCAAGCAATGCAAAAGCAGGCACACTGCACAGGCTTAGCTTGGAGGGCCACCTCAGCTTGCTTCCTCAGTTCTGGACTCTCGGGGTGTGTTCCACACACACTAGCTGCCTCAGCATTTCCCGCATTTTTTTTTCTTTTCCTATTTTTTTTTTTTTTTTCTTTGTCTTTTTGAGACACAGTCTCACTGTGCAGTTCAGGCTGATTTTAAACTCACAACGCTCCTCCTGCCTCAGCCTCCCAGGTGCTGGCATTACAGGCATGCGCCACCACGCCTAGCTCTCCAGCATTGCCTCTTGAAGAAGACATGGTTGAGAGGGTCCATTGTAACATTTTCTCTACTTATATATGTATCAGAAGATTTCCATCATAAATTATTTTTTTAAAGGTGGTTTTTAGGCATTTTAGAGAGACTGTAAGTCTTGCAATAAAATATTTTGTTTAGACACTGCTAACGTGGCATTTCAGGTAGTTCAGTAAGACTAACCTGAATTTTCCCCACCCTTATCTTTGGAAAAGGGTTCCAAATCTATACTTGCAACACATTTCAAATAATGAGAAGGCAGGCCGTATGCCTTTCAGAAGCGCTCATGGTTACCTGCCCTGGCCAGAAGTCTGTCTGATCATACTTCTGTCAGGGAGCCGCTGCTGTTACAGAACCACAGCCTGTAGCAGGACTCGGTGAATGTATTCCTCTGACAGGAGTAAAACCCCAGGTTCCTGGTTCATTGCAGTCGAGCCCGTCACCAGTCTGTATTCATAGGCTTTGCTAAATTTTCACTTTCTGTTTTTCCTTTGTGCTAATTTGGGGTGGGGAGATTGTGACAGTTTCGCTGTAAATATGTCAGCATCGAGTGAACCCTCTCAGCTGTGTACGCTAACGGCTCCCTGTGTGTTTACAGCCAAGTCCATCTACCTCAAGCTTGAGTTCTACTCACTCCGCTTCACCTAATGTGACAAGTTCTGCTCCATCAAGTGCCAGAGGTCAGTGGCAGGGTGTGGGGGAGACTACAGGTGCCCAGAGAACCATCCCGCCCGGGAGCTGTGGCTTCGGTTTCCCGGACTAGGCCAGCCGCCACAGCACTCAGGCCTTCTCCTCTGAACAAGCGCAGCGCTGCCTCCCAGCTAACGATTCTTCCTTGCTTCCTCTTCCCAGCTTCTCCTTTGCTGTCTGACAAACACAAACATTCCAGAGAAAACTCCTGCCTGTCCCCGAGAGAGAGACCGTGCAGTGCCATTTATCCGACACCCGGGGAGCCTTCTCAGGTACAGCTTGCAGGGAAAGAACATGGAAAGGGGGAAAGGGTGGGATTGCTTCACAGCTCTGCACAAGCACACCGCCGCTGCCCAAGGCACCCAGACGGGCAGTGTCAGACCACAGCCAGCTGGGTGAAGAGTCTAGTCCGCTTCCTGCCAATTGTCAGGGAGTTCACTGTAAGCCCCATACCTGGTGGGGATATATGGTGTTACCTGTGCAGTAAAGCTGAGGGGGAGATGGGAACTCTCTCTAGATTCTTTCATCTGACTTCGTATTTCATTGCTTCTCTGTACATTGCAGGGAAGCTGGGGAACGAACGGCCTGAGTGTGTTCGCTGTGTGCGTAGCAGAACTCTGGGGGATTTCTTGTGTTAGCAAAAGGAGAAGCATACTACTGTCCAGCACTCTTTCTTTGTGCCCATACTATTGAGAGGGCTTTAGTTCCGTTCTGAGGCCCCCCAGAGGGCAGGAGCAATCTGCTTGCCTTTGCCTTTCTTGTCTCACACAGAGGGCAGAGCGTCTGCGTGCCCAAGCTGTCCCTGCTCAGGAGGGACGGAACTGGGCTTCGAAGTGACCCCTCTTAGTCTGAGCTGCGGTCGGGCCATGAGCTCGGCCCCTTGGGCCCCTTGAGAAGGGTGGTTTCCAAGTTGAAGATGAATGTGTAGCCTTCAGCTTAACAAAGTATTTGGGACTGATTTCAGAGTGGAGAAAAATACTTATTTCTACTCCATCTAATTTCTCTTTCTCTACACCATCCTGGCAGAAGTCTGTCACTGCATCTGGAAGTGGATGAGAGTGAGTGGATTTGGCTTGATTGGTTTATGTTTGCTGATTGTGTGCTCCTCCCGAAAGTCCCGGGAAACCTCCTCTGCGCAACCCCGGGGTCTTGCGGAAATTACATCTGAGTGCGTGCGGCTGGAGCGGCTAACCCGTTTTATTTCCCTTTGTCACTCGATGTTGCCAGGGGTTTTCAGAGTCGGTTGCATCTGCTCGGGAGGCACATGTGGCCGGCATGGGGGACTCTGGAAGCCTTCCCTGATTAACCTCCCGAGCTTTCTGCTTTGGGTAAAATTCGAAGCGGTGTGTATGTTGCCAAAGTCATGATAATGTACAGTGCTGTGGTGTGTGTGCTTTTGAGGGTTTGGCACTTTTCCTTTTAGCATGTTAGGTAGCGGCATGCCACACTGGCATTTTTGTAGGTTGAAAGTTATAGAATGTTAACCATCCCGTATTTTTTAACCTGATACAGGATTTGAAATATGAAGGAGTTAAAGCCCAGTTGCTACAGACTGTTTGAGCTATTGTTTCTCCTTTAATTTTTACTCGCATTTCATTTTGCCTGCCTGGCATTTTTATTTATAAAGAACACCATAGCTCAATTCCTCTTTACTATTTCGCCCCATATTTTATTATGAACATTGATATTTAAAATAAGGCACAAGCTTTTTAAATGCTGTATTCTCTTCCTCAAAACCTAAGGCACTTCTCCCCTTTTCTCTTTAAATGTAATTGAGTTCTTTGTTTCTAGGCTCATCATACTATATAATCAGTATGTTGAACAGAGTGTTTCAATGAGGAGATAATCATGTCATTCTCTAAAAGGCCTCCAGTGTTCCCATATCGTGTCATAAAAACAGACTCTTGTCCCTTTGCAGAGGATGCTGTTTAATCATATTGGAGACGGGGCCTTGCCACGCAGTGACCCAAATCTTTCTGCACCTGACAAAGGTGGGTACAAACCAGTCCCTCGTTACTCCTGGGATGTTCAGGGTTTGTTTTGTCCTCATTTTCTCTGTGTGTCATGTGGAAGGTAGCGCTCCAGGTCCTTAGAGATCAGGACTCGTTTGCTCTTTAGGGAATTAGTGAAGGACCACTTTTCATGATCCATTCGTTGCCTGTTTGCTTGTGAGATTATCTGTAAGAACGTGAGCACATCAGGAACGCCTCTGCTGAATGACTTTTTATGTCATTAAAGTGAGTCACCCAGGCAACGCCTGCTCTTCCTGAGACAAAGATGCCAATTAGGCTGTTTGTTCAGCACAATGAAAATTGGGACTTCCCAGATTAATCCTCTGGTCCCCATCCTTTGTCTCCCTTACAAAGCACATTCAGCCACCTCATCTGTTGTTTATGGTGACTCAGATGCGGCTCTTGTACAATTAAATACTGTTTAAGAATTGCAATCCAGTGCATAATGGAATGTGCCCTGCCTTGAGGTCGCACACACGTGAAGGAGAAGCAAATACATGCGCAGCAATGAGCAGCCCATTAGCATCAGTCTTCGCAACACGGCAGAAGATGAAGAGCAGATTAAATGTCATTTCCTCAACCGTGGGGGTGGGGGCTACAGCAGGTCACCCATTCACCTCTCTCAAGGTCAAGCCTCAGAAACAGGAGCAGCCACGGGCCGATGAATCAAGAGTCCCTAATGAAATGTCCCAGTAAAGTGCACTTTAATTGCCATCATTAGGAACTAGAATGTATTGTCATTTGGCTACACTGTTACATTAACATTAAAACTTTCCAAAGGGAGATGGAAATTAGTGAGACTTTAGCCAAAACTATTTTAAAGCACCAATTTAGCCCTCATGTAATAAGCATTGATCTCTGCCAGCAGAACACAGGAATGTGCTATTTTTCTCACCCCTTCTACCAAGGAAAACCACAAAGCAAATTAAAATGGAATAGAGAAAGAGCATTTCAAGAGCAATTCTGCCTCATTCGATCCAAGTGGTAACGAAAAGTAGTACAATGTGGGAATCCTCCACTTGTCCGCCAGATGGCAGTGTCTGTACAGGGAGGAGGCGCCTGAACTCCAGGGCTGGGTGTTGTCACTTCATCGCAGTGACTGCCTTGTGTGTGCTGCCCTGGCTCCTAGTGGGGCTGCATCTTAATGAAGCTTGGAGCATGCAGATTCCAAAAGAAGAAGGACACTCAATATTCTACCTGATTTTCTTAGGACGTGCATCAGTGGGACCCATCAATTTCAGGAGCAAGAGTCCTTGCTTCAAGGAGTCGATCCGGGAGATGGCCTGGTGGGCCGTTCTTTCCCAGTAGTTCTGCCAAACAGTTGCAGTATCAGCATGTCACCGTCTTCTCCCTTTTTAGGTGCTCCCTGTCCAGAAATTTCTACTAAAAAACATTTCAGAGTAGTGCAGTGACTATCTCCCATCTGTTCTCTGCTATCTAAACACATTTGTGATTTCCATCAAGCTTCTACACTCTGGTGTGGAGATTTGTAGTTGTGTTTGACAGCTTGAGGGGAATAAAAAGATGTGCTATAACCCAATTAAGTGTCAACTCTGTGTGGAAGCCAGTTTAACAGAGGTTTAGTGTTGAGGAGATATCCTGTGGGGTGGTGTTTGTTTTTTAATCCAGTTGATCTTTTCATTCCGGATAATTCTGACTTTCTCCTAAGATCTCAAGCATTCGGAGGGCAAAGCTGGACCATGTGTTTTTAGCTGTGTTATTCCCTTCCAGCTGTGAATCCCACCCCTAGCAGCTGGAGCCTGGACAGTGGGAAGGAAGCCAAGAACATGTCGGATAGTGGGAAACTTATCTCTCCCCCTGTCCCTCCAAGACCCACACAGACTGGTGGGTATTTGAAGCATTTGAACAATCACTTTTATAAAAATAACTTTTACTGACCACTCCAGCTTGTCCTGAATTCCTCAGACAAAGGTAGGCATTTGGTTTCTGAGGTAAAAACTCTGGTAGCTGCATAACTTGTTCTCCGCTTCCCCAGACTTGTGTTCCACAGATCCACAGAGTGGTCTGCTCCCAGCAGACCCCTCAGACAGACCCTGTCTGGTGCTGTCTTCCAAGTGCCACCCTTGGCCTCTTCCGCCCAGGTCACTCCCATTTCCTCTCTCCTCTGCTTGCGCCACCTGATTCTTACCAGGCTCTGCTAACTCAGCTGTTTTCCTTGTTTTTATTTAAGCTGCCACCAAGGCTTGAATCGCCTCTACATAGAAATTAACTAACACTGACTGTGACGGGCTCTGGCACCCATAGTTCTCGCTGCTTGGAGAGGTCTGCCTTCGAGGGTGGTCTTTCTCAGAGCGTTGATGGCAGGCACTTCATCCTCTAGGGTCATGGCAGAGTCTCTGTGCTAACCCCAGACCTACTGAATCAGAACTTTAGTATTTCTGAAACAAGGCCTAGAATCTTCTTACCAAACCTTACAGGGGATTCTTCCGCTCACTAGATTCTGAGAAGCACTGAGTGATTTTCCCAAGGGTATGGCTCAGTGGGACAGCGCATGCTTAGCCTGCGTGAGGCCCTGAGCCTGGTCCTCAGCACCCAAAAGAAAAGAAAAGAAAACTCGCTTTGTAGTTTATAGCGCTGTGCTTACTTTGCCCCTGAACGAGGCATTCACCTGATGGCCGGCCGTGAGGCAGTTTTTCCACAGCTCTGCCCGCTGCTGTGATGGGGAGAGTCCTGTCAGCACTCACCCGTGTCTAAGGAAGCTTGAAGCTTCACAAGTAGAACTGGCCTAAAAACAAGAGAAAGTATGACACTACCTCCTTCATGGATTTTTCGGGCCTGGTCATTCATATTTCATTTGCTTTACTCTAACATCTCCCCTTTCTGTTTTCTTTTTTACTAAGGAAAGAAAGCTGACTTCACTTTTTTACAAATAAACTACATGCTACCTAGTTTGTTCTAAACTCGTCGAAGTTAAAAGTGAAGTCACCAGTAGTTTGGAAAGGCCTGTGAGGTCTTCAAACGGAAGAAGAAATAACTTTAAGTTTATTGATTGTCCGCATTACTGTCTCAGTGTGACTGCAGGAGATTAAGGCTCACTGCCAAATTATTTCTATTTCCCTCCTGACTTATATATACATCCAGCTGCCTCCAATTTAAATCTGGTTGCATCTCTAAAGTTGGGAACTTGAAAGGCATTTTTAAGGAAACCATTGATAATTATTAGTAAGGAATAATATCGACGGTAGCCATATTCCTAAGCCAGGTCCAACCTGGACACAAGGGTACTGGTGGAACTATTTTAGGGCTATAAGAAAACACTTTTCCCAGAGAACTGTTTTGCAGACATGCACTGGGAGACTGAGACACTGTCAGAGCCGCCTGCCTCAAGGAGAACGGGAAACCTTGATTCTCTGCCACCGTGATGGCAGAAGCACAGCTCCCCATCAGGACTGGCTTCTCCATACGGACATGATTTTCTTCCGAAGTCTGCGCTCCCAGGTTGGAGGGCAGGAGCGCTTGTGCTGGTGTGGGAAGGTGACATGTCCGGCAGCTGGTCGCAGCATGTTAAGTGGAGGCTGCGCAACCCCACAACATGGTAACAGATCCTCCCTCCCTGCTCCCGTAGGACGCAGTTAACTTGGCAGGGCTGCCGTCCCTTCTGCACTGATTGCTCTCATAGTCTGTCCCAGTGTCGTCATCTGTGGTCACTGTTGTGGAGCTCTGTCACTGTCTGTCTTTCTTCCTTCCAGCCTTGCGGTAGTTTTCTCCTGAGTTACAAGCCTCGCTGTGACACTGCAGTGAGTGGCAGCTAATGACAGGGCGACGTACCCTGCCTTCACAGAAACCTCTCTGAGTGGGACTGGGAAGTGCGGCTTTACCCTTGCTTCCCGACTGTGTCCTGGGTGGCTTCGACCCTACACAGCTACGGATCAGAGAGCTGGATCTGATCCCTAGGCATTGCCTTCCCGTGTGCTTGTCCCGAGGGGGAGGCTTGAAAGTCTAGTGGGAGAAGCAAGATCACCGTCTGTGCCTCGATGATGAGATACACGGCATACCGCCACCAGGCGGCAGAGGGAAGACTGAGTGTGGGCCTTGGGCGGAGAAATGCAGAAGCACTCCTCTCTCGTGTTGACGTGGCCAGGGCTTTCTAACTTCCTGTCAGTTCTGAGAGCATGGTGGCGTGAAAAGGGAAGCTGATTAGATTGGTTCCCGCGGGCCCGGTCTGAGCTATCTGCTTGCTCTGCCCAAGCCAAAGGCAGCAGCTGTCTCCCACCCTTCTCCCTGGCCTTTCTTGCCTAAAAGCACCTCGCAAGACAGAGATCAAGCAGTAGAGAAACTTCTAGACTTTGGGGAAAGGGAAAGGACACTGAGCCAGTTTGGGCCCCTGTCGCTTTGGTCAGAGCATCACGGAGAAACCAGTAGCTTTTCGCCAACTGGCCGCTGCCCTGGTAATCCCATCCTCCGCTAGGAATCTTTTCAGATGGACATAGTTTAGTGTCTTCCCCCGTCCTCCCAGCCGCACCCGACAGCCTCGTTTAGGAAGGAGGTCCTTACATACCGGGTCATCTCTCTGTACTAGCGTTTACAGATGGCCAACAGAGTGAGTTTTCTTAACTGAAATGTTCTATCTCTCTCCGTCCACAGCTTCTCCAGCAAGACACACGACAGCAGTCTCCCCCTCGCCTGCCGGGCGGTCTCCATTGAAGGTACAGGCCCTTCTGAGGCGGAAGCTAGAGCCTGACCCTGGTTTCCTTGTTTGTCTTAGACCCATCCCAGGTACACTGAGAAGTACTTCCTGTTGCATAGACAAGGCAAAAGAGCTAGGAGCAGAGTCAGGAAACAACTCGACTTTTCCCTTGAGGATGCTCCCCTGTGGATGCATTCTTTGGATTATTAGCCTTATGCTCCGAACTGTAGCAATGAAGCCCTGTAACTTAAAGTCCATATATATACTGAGTTAGGAAGGAAAAGGGCACACAGTGTCATTCCTGGGACATTTTCAGTCTAGTCTTTCACTTTAAAATACATCTCAAGGACCAGGATATACCTCAGTGGCACAGCGCCTCCCTGGCAAGCGTGAGGTCATGAGTTCAATTCCCAGTACCAAAAAAAAACTAAAATAAAATAAAAGACATCTCAAGCACACATACACTTAGACTGAAAAAAATGAGTAATCAAGAGCTACTGAATATTCTTCTGCAGGGTTTTTGTTTTTGTTTTTGGCCCTTATCTAGTCTCACCCATTTTGACAAAGCCAAATGCAATTTTCTCTCTTTTATACCAAGGTTATAACTTATATTAGAAATAATGTACTTGCTCATGAAAAACAAGATGATAAAATAGATTGTAAAAATTTCTGGAGAACAGAACAGGAGAGCTTTAAAGGTCAGACATTTGGTTGGCAGGTAGATGCGGGCTATTTAGCATCTCTAAACACACAAATCCCTCTTGGAAATAAAGAATAATATTTAGTCTCCATCCAGATTGAATCAGACTGGCTGCAAAGCTGGTCAGAAGCCGAGGGGTTGGTGTTCAGAGCTGCAGCACCAGAAGCAAACAAGAGATGGAAATAAGTGTTGAAAGAACGACTTTATCCCTGAGTGACTTAGGATCGCCATGCTCGGTGTCCTTCTTGTTGATGAGCTAGTTCTAGCTAATGTGAAAAAGACAAATCAGCCTCTACAGATGCACAGGGGCAGGTTGTGGTCTGATACATCTGTGCTGTGAAGGCTAGATGCTGGTAGAATTAAGAATCTGGGGAGCAAAACAAAAAAAAAATAGGAAATCGCAAAGAAATGTGATTTCATTTGCATTGCCCAAATTGCTAATGTAGAAATTTGCTGGTAAGTGCAGCTTATTTGCTAGTTTTGTTGCCGTTCTGCATTGCAGCTGTTATCATCGAGTGTATGCGACAGCATCTGCTTGGAAGCCACCGCCTGCCGTCCCCATGCGAGGGAAGGGGAGCGAGATGGCTCGTTCACATCTCTGCATTTACTTTCTCGCAGAGAGCTGCTGCCTGTTATCACGGAGTTATCATCTGTGTTTTTCAATTTGATTTTGTAGAGTAGCAATAAGACAGTAAGTAGTCTAAGGGATTCATTCTTAAAAATAAAAAGAACCCAAGGGCTGAAAATGTTCAAGGAGCTATCACACATCTCTCCTTAGCAAGCTGGTGCGTGCTGTCTCTCTGCAGACCTGCAGTTATTTTTCCTGGCCATGGACAGTCTTGTAGCCATTTGAAGGGAGAGAGGTGGCCGAACATTTGTGTTCCAACTCCTGGGTTACATCAGCGGGCACACTGCTGCCTGTGCCGTGATTAGGACACAGTCTGCTGACAGGATTTGATGTTTTTTCAGCAGCTGAATGATAAAGTTAACCTTTAGAGAAGACTGAGCTTACCTGCCTTATTTTGAATGTGAAGTCTAATTTTTGACAAAGATGGCCCTGAGGATGAATCTCTTAATTAGCCATGTTTAATGCTACATTCCTAGTAAATGAAAGGATGTGTGTCTACTAGCATTGTTTTTCAAGTGAGAGGCCAAAGTGAAGTTAGCCTAGGTGAGTTAGCCTTTCTCAGTGTGTTCCACAGAATATTAGTTTTGTTTTGTGTTTGTGTTGTTTTGTTTTGAGACAGGGTCTTGCTATATAGTGTAGGCTGGTCTTGAACTCACTCTGTAGCCCAGGCTGGCCTTAAACTCAGTGATCCTCCTGCCTCAGCCTCTCAAATGCTGGGATTACAGGTGTGCGCCATCACACCAGGCATGCACATTAGTTTTTCAGGACAGTAAGTAATGAGTGAAAACTTGGTCTGTGTTCAAGTAAGTTTCAAAAACTCCAAGATTAACAAAGTTACTCTGGTTTCTTTTTGTAAAAGTTAGTGCGCTAAAGTTTTAGCATTTAGTGTTCCCCGGAGGGAGCCTCTCTTCCGCTGCACCTCTTAGGACGTCTTAAACAGTTGGGGGAGCAGCACATTCAGACGCCAGGTGGCGCTAAGCCGCTGACATACAGTGAACGAGTGCAGGAGGCTGCAGATGGTCACAAACTGAGGCATTTGGGTCCCCTCTAAGGGACAGACCTTGCTCTCCGTCAGAACATCATCTCTATTCAGAGAACTCGTGCCTTTGTTGCAGAACTGCAAGTTCTTTATGAAATGCCAGAAATCTGGAGTTGTACAAGGAAGTTTTCTTGTTTTAAAACGTTAGCAACCGAAACAGTTTTTTGTTTTGTTTTAAAGCACAACAGATGACAGCGCTCTCACCGTGGGCTGCGGCCCCAGGGCCGCCAGTTAGTATCCTCAGCCCTGGGGTCAGGGCTAGGGCAGAAGCGAGCGCCAGGGTCCTCTGGTGGGCGGTGATCGCCCCTGGCCTCTGGCCGCCCTGCGTCCAGGCCTCCGCTCCTGAGCTCGCAGTGTGCGGGGCTAGAAACGCAAAGTGGCCCCCAAAGCTGTGGTCCCCAGTTCCTCCTGAGACCAGGTGCAGGGCTCTCCGCGGGTGGCTTGCATCCGCTCTGTCTGAAAATGGTAGGGAGGGCGTGGAGCAGGGCGTGAGCGCTGGAGGAAGGCCTGGGGAGGTGCTGGATGCATGCTCAGTGTCATCTGCGGCCGCGCTGGGTGACCAGCAGCCAGCTCCGACTGCCTCGCAGAGCTCCACACACCGGGCGCTCGGACTAGAGCGCGGGGTCTCCTGGAGGCTCGGGCCCAGGAGAAGGCGATCGCCACGCTGGGTTCCCCGCGCCCCGCCTGTGGCTGCCACGGGAGCCCCCGTGTGCCCGCCCCGGGCCGCGGTCCCGCCCCCTCCGGAGTCCACAGCCCCCAGGGGAACCAGTGGGCCCGGGTTAGGAGCACGCTCCTCCCTTGCTTAGGGCTGTGTCCCCAAGTGCAGCGCCGGGAGGGACGGCCTGGGGGCTGCGGGGCGGGTGTGCGGGCGAGCCCAGCCTGACTCTGCCTTGTCTCCCCTCTCCCTCGGAGCAGGGCTCCGTGCAGTCCTTCACGCCCTCGCCCGTGGAGTACCACCCCCCGGGCCTGACCTCCAACTCCCCGGTGCTGTCGGGCAGCTACAGCAGCGGCATCTCCTCCCTCAGCCGGTGCAGCATGTCGGAAACCTCAGGCTTCGAAAACCAGGCGAACGAGCCGGCGGCGCCCGGCTACAGCGGCCCCGAGGAGCCTGCGCGCAGGGAGAGCAAGACGCCGCCGCCCTACAGCGTGTTCGAGCGCAGCCTGCGGCGGCCCGCGCCGCTGCCGCACAGCCTGTCCATCCCCGCGG